AGAGAGAGAGAGAGAGAGATGAGCTCATGCTAACGTCTTCAATTCAAATCCAACACCCCGGGTTCCTTCGTATCTCCATTTTCAAAGATATCTCTAGTATTGCCCCAAAAGCACACAGTGAAAATTATTCAAATTAATTATTTTCTCTGTGTAGAGTTTTGACATCAATATTATGTAAAATTAAGTTCACTTTTTTTCTTCATGTATTTAATAGTAGAGTTTAATTTATTCATGTTTTTATTTTTTTAATATGGGAGATATTTACATCATTCACTTGTCTAAACCATACTTGGAGCTAAATCCTACTTCCAAAAATATCACCCACTCTGCTTGTTCTGAAGTGCCCCTTATGTTTGAATTAGTTCATTTTTTTCCCCCAGTGTTTCAGTTTGGAAAACTGAGCATTCTTTCTTATACTCTCTCATATTTTGCTTTCTTGGTTAAATTAGATATTTAGAAGTCACTTCATCAGTTTTCATCAATCAGTTTTTTCAGTCTTCTGTGTGTATGTAAGAGGTTTGCACATATACTATACTGAATCTGGCGGGGGGGGGGTATATCCTCAAGTTAATTCCTTTAGGTATGTTTTTTTCTGGGTCAAAAAGAAAATTCATTTATGGCTTTATAAGTATTCCAAATTTCCCTCACTGCAATGAATGAAAATACCTGCTTTCCCACAGCTTTGTCAAAAGAAGATATTTTTGATCTATTGAATTTTATCAGATAAGTGAAAATGATAGTTTTAATATGAATTTTTACATGAACTGAGCATTTTTCATGTGTTTAAAGGCAGTCACCAACTTTTTCATGTAAACTTTCATATATACCTATTTTTCTATTGAGCTTGCTTTTTCTTGTTTTTTTTTATTCTTCATAGTATTCTCTTTTTTTAATTTTTATTGGTTGTTCAAAATATTACAAAGCTCTTGACATATCAAATTTCAAACATTAGTTTCCAGTGAGTTATGAACTCCCATTTTTACCCCAAATACAGATTGCAGAATCACATCGGTTACACATACACATTTTTACATAATGCCATACTAGTAACTGTTGT